AAGTTGTCACTGGGGATTCTTCTAGTGGACGTCATAGAAGCTCTAGTAATAAATCCGTTGCAAAATCTAAAGCTGGGCCCAAAAAACCATCAACGAGTGTTTCAGACAGTGAAAAGGAAGTCTTGTATACTCGTACAAACAATTTCCCAAGGAAGAAGAGGTCTACAGACAGGGACTGGAATGATAGGGTTGTTGATAATTTATTCCTCGACAAATCACAGAAGCCTGTTCAGTCTAATGTAGTTAGTAATAAATGCCATGGTGAGGCTGAAGAAGTAAAAAAGAAAGACATGGATGTAGTTTCCTTCACATTTACCATGCCCTTGACAAGAAGCAATTCTGGTTTTGAGACATCTGGCCTAAATTCCTTGGATCAGCATATTAGAAGAGTGTTGGTTGATACTGAAACTGATAATGCAGGGTCTCCTGTAGGATACAGTGCAGTTGGTGGTGATGCCTTGGGTATTCTTTTGGATCAGAAGTTGAGGGAGTTAACATATGGAATTGGGAACTCTTGTGATGACTCTCTCAAAGCAAGGTCACCCTCCAGCACTGCACCAAAAGTTGCAGGGTCACCCACCCTTTATTCAGTTAACCTCTTTCCAGGGTTGCAACAGAATGAAGATCAAGACATGATGTCGACGGATAAATTATTCAGTAACCGCACCTGTCTTCCAGAATTATCATCCCAGCATAGGCTTCGGGTATGTGAGAATATTTTAGCATTTGTTGTTATTATCCTTTTCCTATCATGAATACATAATGGCAAGACTCTGGTTAAATTTTCACACTATGAGAAGTTATGCTTGCTCACATTATGGTTAAATTTGGAAGTTAATTCCCCATTTACCAAGAAGAAAAAGGTTAATTTCCCCATTTACATTATGGTTAAACTATGAAAAAAAAGTAACACAATACAATTGAAAGAATCAATAGCATTGTATTGTAGAATCAGCCTAACTTTGGTAGGAGGCATAATATTCCTTATGATAACCATTGAACGTTAATCAACTCAACATATTTTACAGCTTGATAAGATGGAGGAGTGTGAGATGAATCCTATGGAAGCAGGGTTATTCAATTCAGGACAGCCGAGTCCAATATCTGTTCTTGACCCTTCTTTTTCCCATGAAAGCTGTGAATCTCCATTCAGCGCAAATGCTTCCAGTTCAGAAGACCAAAAAAGGAGGTAAAAGTGGCATCTTGCTTCTGCTTGAGCATAGACAATATATTATTTCTTCTAAAATTAGTCATTTAATGAGTCAGAAGAACATCTCATTTATTTTTTAAAACACTTGCTTTAGAAACAATTTCCAAAAGTGAATAGATTTTGAATGTGAGATCGGTTATTCAGCAGTGTAGAACTATTCTATAAAACAATTTTGAAAAGTAAAAGGTACATACATGACCGTGATCACTACTGACAGTATCTACTTTCAGGAAGCAAGTTGTGGGCTCAGGAAGTGGCTATAGAGACTTGTTTGATTCAGCATCAGCTTGGACCATGCTAAGGAAACAATCAAGTACATGTTCCCAAATGAAGATTGGACAATCAAGCACATGGGAGTTAGAGTATGTAAATGATATATTGTGTAATGTGGAGTTGATGTACATGGACTTTTCTCTTGGCAGAGCTCGTGAGATCGTGAACCCTCATCTGTTCAACCAGTTGGAAAATCGAAGGGGAAGGTTTGAGAGTGATGGTGGTGAGTGCAGAATAAGAAGGAAAGTTATATTTGATTGTGTGAGTGAGTGCTTGGACTTGAGATGCAGGCGATATGTTGGTGGAGGTTACAAAATGTGGGCAAAAGGGGTTGCAATGGTGAGAAGAAATGAATGGTTGGCAAAGGAAGTGTGGAAGGAAATTTCAAGTTGGAGAGATATGAGGGACTCAATGGTGGATGAACTGGTAGATAGGGACATGAGCATCCAATATGGACAATGGCTAGATTTTGAGGTTGATACTTTTCAACTTGGAGCAATGGTTGAAGACCAAATATTTGATTCTTTGGTTGATGAATTCGTTGCAGAAATCCTGCAACTGTAACAGCACACCTCAATCAATGGCTGTGACATTTGATTTTTAGCATTTTCCCATTGAATTACAATAGTTACTGTGTTACATATAACTTGAACAAGATGTCTCTGGTTTTATATTTATTTATGAGAGACAATAGTGTTACAGTGTAAATCATAGTAGTGGAGTGGAATTGTCTTGTTAAAAAATATTACAAGTAGAATTTTCTTATTTAAAAATGGTATCATTTAATATCTCCTATATGCTGAAATCTTAGTCGAGGACTGTGAAACCGGATTAATTATGCTTGTTTTACAAATATAATTTGACACATTTAATTGAGTTTCCTAAACACAGACAAGAATTTGATTTTTGATATGTATATATGGAAAAAAAATATAATCGAATCCCCACCGCTTGGAGCAAGAATGTCACATTCATTAGTTGAATAGAAAGTTAAAACATTTTTAAGCTTAAAGACAGGCAGCTTTGAAAATTCTAATTTTACCTTTGAGTTTCGGAACGTCTAATCCGGAAATATTTCGAATACATACAATCCCAACCTTCAAGATGGTATAACTCCTTTGTATTGTAAATTATATAATTAAAAGTGCAAAAAAAAATTTGAAATTGTATAATTTAAAATATAAAATTTATATTCCAACTTATATAATCTAAAATAAAAGAATTCATTTTCAATGGTATTAACCTTTCAACAAATGGATGACCAACTAAATTTTATATTATGGTTGTGAAATATGCATATTACATTCAATTCAATGAAGATACATTTTTATTAGAATTTGGCTTGTTTATTAACTTAAAAAGATATTCATTTTCTTGTGTCATACATGCTCGATTGAATATTATATTTATATTTTATATATATTTTACACCTTTCACACTTTAACAAAGACAAGTTTTTCTTCTAGGTTCATTAGCAGTCTTGTCACATCTTATAATTACATAAACATGAAATGTAATTTCTCTAATCCATTCAATTATTACATAAAGAAAATATTTGATTAATTATAAATTTATTTGTGTAACCTCTCTTTATTACTTTATTGACGAAAAAAAAAAATCGAACACAAAATTTGATTTTACTAGAGAATTTAGAATTTATACTAAGAGAATAATATTCCATTTTACAATATAATCACTCTAACATAATATCTCCACCACTCAATAATAATAGTAATAATAATAATAATACTAAAAATTATTAAAAAAAATAATCTAACAAATTAAAAACAAAATTAAAATAATAAAACTAAAAAACAAAAAATCAACGGGATTTCGAAATCTATCGAATTTCGGCCTTAACTTTTTCACATCGGAATTCCAAATCCGTGAATTTTTTAAACGAATTTTAACATCTGATTTGCTTCTTAAGCTTCAAAATGCAGAGAAATCAACTTTAACCATGTTAAAACGCTTACACGTGATTCTGTTCCAAGAAGAAGAACATTCGTAAGCACTAATTACTGTTTACCTATCTTTTCCTTTTGTTTTCTTCATCATTAACTGAGAAGTAGATTCGTTCATTTGGTGGTGCAGGAAGAACTCTTGGAGATGCAAAGAGAAGCACTCTTTAGATAAAATAAAGGAGATTCTGTTGATAGAGGACACGGGTCAAGTGCGGCAGGGTAGCAGATGAAGATAAAGGAAGACGATAAAGACAAAAATGTCTTTGCATCTCGCCTAGGAAAGTCTATGGAGAAAATATGGAAGTGCAGGGAGAAAACATGGAAGTGCAAGAAAAAAAACGCCCTTATAAATAACTCTTTCACATTTTCCGAAATTACTTCCTAAGTTACATAATATAAGGGAATTTCGGTAGTTTGTCATGTAAATTTGTTATTCTTAGGGCTAACTATCTTTTTAATCTTGAAATTCTAAGTAATTTTGGTTTTAAATTTTCTAAATTTTTAAGGTTCTTAAGTTCCTCAAAATTAATACGATTTTATCTATAAACACTCCTGAAATTTAATGTTTAGGAATTAAGATTATAGTTTTTTTTTTTTCAATTTTAAGGAACCAAACGAACTTTTCTAAATTTAGGTAATTAAAATTAAAATAACCCAAATTAAATGGGAAAACGTAATTAAATCTAATTTTTATTTCTCCTTCTACAATTTCTAACTAAAACTTTAAATTATTACTTTTTATTATATAGCCTGTCTATTACAAACGATAGTCTGCACCTATAAAGATTATATTCTCTAAAGTGAACAAATAAGAGTTAAAAATTAAATATTTTACTTTAATGTCCAAATAATTAATTTAAAAAGTGACTTAATTAAAATTAAAATAGATATAATAATAAATATTTACACATTTTATTTTTAATTAAATTAAATAAATTTCAATCTTAGTACAATAATTTTAATTATATTAAATTTGTTTAAATTTTATCATTACTAATTAATATAATTGAAGATATGTTTGATATTTAGAAATTATTCAAGTGAAAATGTCAATATATATTAGCATTGAAAAAACAATTACGAAACAAAAAGAAAAACTTATTCTACGGATAGATAATTGCATATTAACAATAGCTTTTTTATCAAATAAACACATAATAATTAATGAACATCAAATATGTGTTCCATTAACTTAACCGTTAACAAAATTTAGATAAAATTAATATAGAACTGTAATATTTCATTTCTTATTATATTATAAACAAAACATAACAATTGTTAAACCAACTATTTAACCTAAAATCAAATAATACCCATTTCCTTTATTGAGTTAAATTTGAAGAAAGTGAAAATTATGCAGAATGTAAATTAAATAAAAAACCTCACCTCAATTTTTACTAAAATGAAATAATATTGTGAAATTTATAATTAAATATGAAGTTTAAAACATAAATTACGATTTAATGTTCTATTTTTAATGGTAGTACCAAAGTGAAAGCGCCAACAACTATTGTATATGTTTTGTATTCAAGACTATGAGAAATGTTAAGTAATTTAGTTACATTTCTAATTTCCTTCACCTGGTATAAAGTAACATATACACAAGTTCACAGATATAATACAAAATGGAGGGATTGGCGATTAATAATTTTCTTCTCAATTCATAAATACAAAAGAATCCACCCATACCATTGCGATCTGATAGAAAAGATCCAGTAAATCACCATTCTTGTAACCTGTCTACAGACATTCATCACTCTCAATCAATCATCGCTCTCGAAGGTCAACAACATCGAACCTCAAGTTAGCGTTCATATAGACATGAGAGCAATGCTCATATATTGGACTTCCATCCGAAGGCTCTTCGTGGGGATGAAATCCACGTTGTTGACAGTTACGAATTACAGAAACACCACCTGGATCAGATAGATGAAATATGCCATGTGGACTGCAGTGCCAAAATAAATGTATAGTTCTGATTAGTGGCAAAGTCAAATAAATCAAAATCAAAATCATCTCTTCTCAAATAAACTAGCTTATAATATTATGTCCATATTGAAATAGAGCATTAGACTTCTCATTTCCATATCAAAGGTAAACCCCTGCAGATAGACAAACTTCAAATAGTTTCTAAGGTAGAGCTTATAGAACCAAAATATCAATACGCAGGTATCAGTTAGTCTCTACATGCCAAAGACATTTTATTACGAAATGAAAACTTCCTAGAAGACAGAATGAAGGCAAATATTTATCAAAAAACAGTAGAATTAAAGGCAATTGGTTCAACTACAAGACTGGGACTTGGGGTAGGGGAAAACTTAGGTAGTAGCAACCTATGAGATAATTATACTTACAACTTTTTAACATATATTTTCCGTGGATTCATCTAATAACTCTATCGTTTTTATACTGCAATGGTTAAACCAATAAAAGTGCACATCATTGATGATCTATGAATTAAAAGCCCTTGACAAGCAACACACAACATGGGTTGAGTAAATTAGATAAGAAAAAGAAATCAATCATTAAATTCATGCATATTCTTTTGATCTTTACTCCATCAATCACTAGAAAAAGAAATAAATCATTCCCTATTCCAATCTAAGATCTTGTGATTGGATTTAAAGTGTCTGACATGTTCTTTGGAAAAAAGTTATGCAAAATAACGGTCAACACTCCGAATCTGATCAGGGTTATGTATATATTTCCTTGCTTAATCTGGCAATGATAATGACAAAATACACAATTGACTGCAAAGATAATGAAAGAAATACACAATTGCTAGTAAAACTTACCTAGTAGTATCTGTAGGGGCCATGACAATAGCAATTGCCTCTGGTAACATGATCTGAAACGAAGCCACAAATATACAGCTAGGTACAATTAGAAGGAAATATATGTACACTTGCTGATTGTTCCAAATTCTTCTATTAAATTGAGAAAATAAAGCTTGTACTCCTGTCGCTTTACTAACATAATCCAAGTTATTAGGCCGTTTTCCTTCATACATTATACCCTAAATTCTCATGCAAATTAGGTTAAAGAGCATGACATCATCAAATCTCTTGCATCTTCTAAAAATTACACAAACATCACCATAACAAGAAATCAACTATCTAGCATTACGGCCACCGTTTCTTGTCTAAGCCCCACAGTCAAACATAGAAGGCTATATAACAACTGCTTTACCAGCTTAATATGTGAAAAACCAGGAAATTGAAATTACAGTGGCATCTATTACCTGGTATGAGTAATGAGTGTGTAGATCCACTGAAGACATGAAACAAGTTTGTGATGGATGTGTCTGAAAAGTCGAAAAAAATAAAATAAATACTGAAACTTAAAACTTGCGAACTTAAAGTGGGTTAAAGAAAAACAGAAGGTAAGAGCTACAGAAGGACACTAATATAGTTTGCTTGAAATTAGAAGGCTTGCTATCTTCAATCATATTAATATTATTGACACACTCATCAAAACATCAGTTAATAACTTAAGGTCATCTTTAGAATAAAGATAAAAGATTTGAGAGGGTGTAGCAACTACAACAAAAAAGAGAAAAATCTTTGCCAAGAACCAAATAGTAAGATATAGTTTTGACTATTTATTCATTTTCCTATTAAATATCTTACATCAACCAAAGTCCCAGCAGGTAAAGAGAATGAAAAGGATGAATTTCATCCTTTAATTCTTACCACTACTCATCTGCGGCACCAAGTGCATTATGTTTTTCTGCTTTCCTCAAAGCAAAATTTAAAGCAAAAATGTAACGGGCAGAATTATTTTGCCAGAAGCGATCACCAAATGATTTAGCAATTGGCATGCCTGCTAACTCTTGCACGAGGTCCCTACTCCCACCACTTTATTTTATCAAATAACCCCCCACAAACTGCCAAAATTCAGGACTTTTTTGTCATCTGTGTAATATTAATCATATTGAAATTACCGAATAAAGTAAATTACTTAATCATTTTAGTGTAACCAATTTAATTCCAAGTCTCTATCAAAATTGATGAATAATTCTTATCCTTACTACTCTAAGCATGACAGCAACAAAAAATTCTTTGGCAACTACTTTTAATTGAAATCAGAAGCCTTGAATTCTGGAGATACAAAATCAGAAAAGTCAATGCTTCACATCAAGTTTTTTTGCTTTCACCATCCAGGGTAGAATAATATTTACGCATGGATATAACTAAAAGAATGAATAAGCAACAGCCGAGAGTAATGGGGCACTTACATGTATCCAACCTAAAGGAAAGAGTGATAAGCTGTCTTGAACTTCAAATATTTCTTCTTCGTTCAAAGTTGAACACTGGATATTAAAATTCAATTAGATGCACCATTGCTGAATAAAAATCAGACAGTAGAAGAAAAACTTCGATAACTGTGAAAATAACAGTTCTTTGTATCTACTAAATAGAATGAATACTTGATAATGTGCCGCATATAACAATACACTAGAAATCTTAAAATGATTCTCAAGATTGCATTTAGCCCAACTAAACCAACCATATACCCTTCTCATCCTTTTTCCTGCTATATAGGCAGTCTGCTATATGCAGGTTATTAGTTTTAGTATTTCCCATCCAGCCCATACAATAACCAGACTTTCTTCCTATCATTCTTCACGTACAACTCAGCAGCACCAAGGGATCTCTATCACAATCAATAAAAGTCCAAGGTAACTCACTAAAATTGACAAAATAACTGGTTGTTTGTTGTTTAAATAAGGGCTAATAATTCTAATTTACAGTAACATTGGAGGTTGAAGCAGCTTTTCAACTCAAATGTTACGAAATTATCTCATACAAATAATTACCAATCATGCAGGATTCACAAATCACCACATCTGTGTGCAACAACCTCACAGCAATATTAATTTTATATTTTGTCTGTCAGGATATAGTTGAAGATAAATGCGAAAAGTGAAGCTTTTTAACCATGGAATTACAATGGATGGAGTTTAATAGCCTGTAAAATAAATTAAAAAAAAAAAAAAACATAACATTAACTTACCGAGTCTGAGGTCGATTCCTGCTTTGGGATTATAAGTGTCGTGATATGAAATACCCTGTTTTTCTAGAGACATTAAAATTGCAAGTACAAAAACTGTTAAAATCATCATCGAAGAGATTTTCTGAAACTTGGAAGCACACAGAATAACAATATCTCTTACCAAGGACCCTGCAAGAACACCACACGTCTCTAAGTTCTTCCGTGTGTTCTGTGAAGCTAATCTCAAAAAATCTTGCATCATTTTGACAGGCTGCAACATAGAGTGAAGGTATTATAACTTTCACAGGGTATAAGAACTAGAAGAATCAAAGCTCACAAATACGAAGTCATAATAAATGACCAACAAAATCCTAGATATAAGTCACACACTTCAACTACAAAACTAAAAAAGGCTTACAATATGTAGGTGTTGATATGTTGTTGGACCAAGTTCAGAATCATGAGAAGATTTAGCAGGTCCCGGTCTTGGATCTGCAACTTTTGAAGGAGGAATATGGGCACATTGTGGGTGCACCTGTGCAAGAACAGGAGGTGGCAAAGGTTGCTTGATGTTGAGCGATTGTAAGGGGTCTTCCCTTGATTCTGTTACGACAGAAGAACCAGACTCAACAGAAGGATGCAACCATCTTCCATCATCCAAGGAGAGAACTGCGTCCATGGTGGATGTAGCTGGTCCTTGATCGACATCTTTAATTGCCACAATGTCATACAGCCCAGTTGGATTCAGGCTATCAGTGTGAACAACAAAAAACGTAAGTGTGTGGGATTTTTTATATTTTAGTTACAAAACTAAACACAGCACGCCTGAAAACAATATTTGGCATTCAAATTTCAGCATTTTTCACAGTCAGATGCCATTAAAAACTCACAATGAGAAACATATTAAAAAAAGAGAGTTTTAAAAGAATAATTTTAACTATAATTGACTGAGATTGACTACAAAAGCACAAATAATAAATAGTAAAAACATGAAAATTATGCAATTTGAACAGCAAAATTTCACGAACATGAAACATAGAAAGGACATGGAACTCGATTTCAAATTAGGATACGAATGTCAAACCTTGAATCAATCATGTGTGCGAGATCACTGCTTGGATATTGAACCTGCACAATGTCCAACATCAATACTGACAGAATATATGAAAATTATATCATAGTATCTTTACTGTATCTTAGATTATCTCATGATTCCCAATGTTTACTTATATATCATGATTTATTTCCTCATTTAATTAGCACTGAATCCTGTAATAGTATAAATAAGGATTAGACTTATAACAGATATGCTTTGTAATACATAGCATCACATCTTACAGAATATTCAATATCTATTCTGTTGTTTGCGCCATCTATATCTAAAACCCTATATTTCAACAAATATGAGAGAGATAATCCAAGTTAAGATAGCACAAGAAAGTCATGCTTCAATTGTACCTTTATTTCTGCACTAGGTCCAAGCCATTGGCCCCGAAGGCCATTTGGTCCTAAAAATGAGTGTCTGGACAAAGTCTCCTTATTTGGAGCAGGTAGACTAAGAGATCTGCGCCATCAAAAGAATAATAATCACAATTCTTATTTCAATGTTGCAACCTTCTTTTCTTTTGAAATATCGTGAAAATGTTCAAGAAGCTCCTCAAACCACAAGGATAACAAGAAACGTATATCCCACTGAAAAACAGAAGTGTGCTACATACTAAAATGTGCTGAATGAAAATCGCACAAGTAATTGAAATAGCATTTAACCAATCAGAACATACGAATAAATCATTAGAATTTGATCCAGTCAGATATGGAAGCAGTAAACATAATATCTTCTGCCAACCTATAACATGAAAAAATTGTTAAAACAAAACACTCTTATTCATTATCTTGCATGCTTATTCTTTACCTTTTGTGTGGGAATGGGGAGAAGTAGACAGGAAGGAGTGTCAGCTATTAAGCCCATAATATTACATCCATTCATAAAATTCTACATAAATGCACAAAAGAAAAATCAATTGCAGACAAAAATAGAAGCTTGGTGGGAATGGGGAGAGGCAGATAGGAAGGAGTGTCTGCTATTTAGCCCACAATATTAAACCCAGTTATACGAATAAATGCACAAAAGCAAAAATAATTGCACACAAAAATGGAAGCAAAAAAAAGGGGGGGGGGGGGCAATCTCAATTCAAAATTTTCATAGCCATGTAACAGAGTGACCAAAACCCAAAAGCATTCACTCATAAAATTAATTTGATCCTATTAGTAAACCAAGTGTAAATTGTAGATATGCCAAAATAGTAGAATATGAATAGGTAGAAAAACTTACAGTTTCTGAAACTGCTTATCAATAGGCATGGAATCTGATGATGACATACTATTATAATTCCATGAAGAGTGTGAACCGAAACCAGAAGGCTGCAGATATGTTGGGAAAAAAGAATTCACAACAATAAACAATCTGAACAGAATTCAAGCACATTAACGCAAAAAAAAATGGGACAAGTAATCAATAAGAAAATTCTAACACAATTTTTAAAGCATTTGGTGTTGAAACTAGTTGAGATACCATGGCAAAGATCAAATAGATTGAGAATTTTCAGTATCCTGATATTTATACTAAAATATCATGAGTCCTCACCTGTTTAAAATCCACACTCAAGTTATTACTTTTATTGACAACCGGCCACTCCAAAGATGAATTTACAGAACTCTGTAAAGCCTTATTAAAGCCATTTTCCTTGGGCAATGAAGCTTTTCCATGCAAGTATTTTAATTTTTCCACCCGGCGTTTAAACTCGGGCTTCAAAGATTCAAGCTCATCCAATACAGGTCGTGATCTCTGTAATGGGAAAATGATAGACAAGGATAACAAGACCAAAATCAAATATAGGAATAAAAAACTAAAACAAACACCCACACATATACCGTAAAATGTGGCATGGCAATTTCTCACCTTATTATAAGCTGCTCTTTCATTGGGCAGCGAAGCATGATAATCTCGATGATACGGTATAGTTTCAGAAACCAAACTTGAAAAAAGATTATCAAAAATTGGAACAGTGAGGGAAAAAATGAAAATGTTAACTCAAATTAACTGCAATCTAACAAGTCCACCGTAATGAGATTCCAAGAAACTTCCATATTTTACCTTAAAAATCTAACGAGTATAATGTACAAGTCAACTACGTTATTCTCCTCCCTGTAGATACTTGCCTGTGGACAGAACAAAATTCATTAATCACAACAGTAGCAACGTATATACAACAAAGTTCAAACTGCTCTACTTCCACACAAAACTCAGAACTAGTTCTATTGCAGGTTAGCATAATGAAGTTAGCAAACCACAGGTATTCCTAAACAGTTTCGATATTGTGTACTAGGGCACCAAACAAAGCACAAGCACTCACGCAACATACTCAATTCCATCTCTGCCACTAACATGCACATTTCACCGTGATTTGTCATTATTCATTTTTTGCTCTATAATTTTATATCGATTTTATAACAGTTTGATGAGACAAGCTACAAGATGAACAAGTTCCGGTCGCATAAAAACATCTTAATTAAGTAATGTATCATTGATGGATAACTAGGGCTAGAAAGGAGAGCCTGTTAAACTGATCCTAAATAGCAAGAATTTGACACACGGTCACAAACACGAGGTGCCGCGAGGATTGAAGTTTCCTCCGCGCAGGAATTCGTAAATTGTAGGTAGCGAAACGCCGATGGAGAGTTTCTAGAAACAAATAAACGAAAGGATCCTATTGCGGCTGGAGAAAGTTCTGGCGACGATAATCTTGCAAAGCCCTAATGTAATGAAGGATGAACGAAAAGCATTTAGAACGGAAATAGAAGGAGCGTTTCACCTGCTTGAGGAGGTTATCGGCAATCCGATAGTAGTGGCGGAGGGGAATGAAATTATCAACGTCGATTTTGCGAGCGATGGAATCTAAGTCGATGGTCATCTTCTCCGGGAAGGAATGCCAGTGCCACACGCTTCTTGCAGGCGATGAACCAAACTCTCTCTCTTGCAAAGAAGGAAGGAAGGAAGGATCAAAGAGCGTATCGTGTGAGTGNAAATTGTAGGTAGCGAAACGCCGATGGAGAGTTTCTAGAAACAAATAAACGAAAGGATCCTATTGCGGCTGGAGAAAGTTCTGGCGACGATAATCTTGCAAAGCCCTAATGTAATGAAGGATGAACGAAAAGCATTTAGAACGGAAATAGAAGGAGCGTTTCACCTGCTTGAGGAGGTTATCGGCAATCCGATAGTAGTGGCGGAGGGGAATGAAATTATCAACGTCGATTTTGCGAGCGATGGAATCTAAGTCGATGGTCATCTTCTCCGGGAAGGAATGCCAGTGCCACACGCTTCTTGCAGGCGATGAACCAAACTCTCTCTCTTGCAAAGAAGGAAGGAAGGAAGGATCAAAGAGCGTATCGTGTGAGTAAAGTCGTTAGATTAAACAGGGAATTTCCAACACGAGAGAAGGACTAGGTTCGACTACTCTTCTCTTTTAGGTCCCAACGTTACACACGACATAATGAGGTAACAAACACAACATCACAATTCTCTATTGCATGTTGTATTCGATCAGTTTGCTTGAGATTAAAGAAAAACCACCATTCCAGTAATTTGTGCAGTTTGGATTATATTTTTAAAACTAACTAACGAAATATATACTTTCATATCATAAAATGAAATTAATATATACATTTTACATCTTTTATCTTTTATATTTGTTTATATATTTAACTAGTATTTTAAGTTATATAGTATAGGAAAAATATTTATTTTCTGTAATTTAAATTGATAAGTAATAATTATTAGTAAGTATTAGTAAACAGAGTTGTTTAACCTTTATCGAAGAAGTCTATCAAATCCAATAAAACAGATGATCTAAGATAATTAAAAATATTAAATAGTTTAATATCTTATTGATTTGGATCAACTTTAGAATTTAAACTAATTATCTTGATTTACCACTTTTTTTATGTTTTATTTAAGAATAGAACAAATAAAATATTTTGTTTTATTTTCTTGTTTAAATAAAGCAATTAAATTTTTCTTCTAAAATAAAATTTCCTATCAAAATATTAGTTTTAAAATATAAAATTTTAAAATTAAACTTAAAAGACATATTAGTTAAATTATATGTGTATGTACTACGTGTCTTGTAAATATTACTAGATGTGAAATTTTCATTCATTAACTATAAACTTTTAAATTTTAATTTCTTTTAATATTTTCATCCAAACTACTCAAATAATTTTAGATTTATTGAATTACTTTTTAGAATTACCTCATCTAAACAAACAGTTAAAATTTTAGTTTAAGTAAATTTAATCTGAATTAAGTCAACTGAATCTAATGATTTGTTTAAATTTGTAGTATATGCTTTTATTATTTTTATGATAAAATCAAATAGCTTTTTATTAAATTATAAAAGGCAATTAGCGATAAAATTGGTGTTTATTTCATTTAATGACAAAAGTATGCAGTTTTTAAACAGATTTTTATATTGGATCCAATTTATCTGAAACTATTAAACCTATTCCTAATTATGTTGATTCGGTTTAAATTTCAAATTTTAAAAATATTAAAATCAAATCGTTATTAAACTTTAATTAACAAGTTGTATTTTTAAAATATTAGAAAATAAAATGATAATTGATGACTCGTATCATTAGACATCTCAAATTATAATAAATAATTATTATGAAGTTTAGTAGTTTTTAGTAAATTAATTTTAATTCAATTTGATTTAAAAGGACAGAAAGTAGAAAAGTTTTAATAGAATAGAATATGGAAACTAAGAAATTAAAATAGTGGTAAAAGGATGAGTCAGGGTCCTGTCTATATACAGAGGTAGCACTTGGATTGGTGCATGCAAATATTTTGAGCATCGTGTCAAACAATACTTTATCAAATGACATCTTGCAAAACTAACAAGTAGATATCATCAAATAAACACAACATGGAAAATTAGTACAGTAATTTTGTCTCTGTTCCTCCTTCACGTTGTTCTGGCTTTCGAGGTTGTAATGGGACCACAAGCTAATGTGTCACCGGTAGTTGGTGTCAGTGGGCTGGCTCTAGCCCAATCCCTGAAGCAGCCCAATTGTTCCGGAGGCCCATGAAAACTTTACGGGAAGCCCAGTTGGTTCCCTCCCCTTAACCACTTCGTTACCTTCACATGTAAATATAATATTATATTAATTTATTCAATTAAAAACATTAATAATAACATCCTAAAATAATAAAAAATAATCAAATATAATAATAATAATAAGATAAATCAAATATAATTAATCAAATATTTAATAAAACTAAAATAATTAAACATAAAGCATACATAAACCGTTAAAGTTATAGCAAGATAACTATAACAGTAAAACAAATATAATAATAATAAGATAAATGTAATGGAAGATTGATCACATGCATTAAAAAAATGAAAACTAGATAAAAGAGTAAAAATTAATTTATTATTTTGCAATAATTATTTAGATAAACTTCAAGACTTTATAGCGATGATCACTTTGTCACCTTATGATCTTCAAACAGATGATCCAACACAAGAAAAACTTACAGAAAAGTAAAATTTTTAGAGAAAAACAATTTATAAAAAGACGTGTAACTTAAAAATGAAATTTGTTTAATGAGATTTCTATTTATACTTTAAATTTTTTAACATTAAAATATTTAATATTTAAGGCTCCTTACTTAGGTTACACTACAAGTTCTAAAAAGACAATATTTATTTACGTTTCTCCCAATATGTTGGTTTTATATATCTTTCAAAATCTATAAGCTAATTAATTTCTTATTCTCATACATATTGTTTATCATCCCCTTGCTTGTTAATGACTATATGCTAATCTCGAGCTCTTAATCAAATATTGCCCATAAGAAGAAGGAAATAATCTTTAAAAATTTCCATGTATCTTTACTCTAGAGAAAAATGTTGTGAAAAATTAATTGTATCATTTTTAAACTAATAACACATTGATTTTGGTACTTCATATGAGAATTTTTTCGGATAAACTTTATATCAGTTTCAAAATTTAATTTAATATCGGTAAGAAAACAAAATACTCCTTCTAAAATTGTGCAATTTTTTTAATGACGGGGCATTCTCTTTAAAGGGTTAAGGTACCAATGATTTATGTTACAACCTAATTATCAGCCTTAGGATGGATATTAATGTTTCGATGAGTGTGTTAAAGTCAATCAGTACATCCAATATCGTGTCTTTAAATCTGTGGTCCGTCAGATTTGTCAACAAAAATGTACCAATACGCAAATTCTCAGTTTCTTCCAGGTGTGGAGAACAGACTGTTACGGGACACCACCAAGCATGAGTAAATAAATAGTATAATTGTGATCATACTTAAATTGAATGTGGTTGATCATCTAATCAAATGTCTGATCGGTTATAGAATAAAAATTAAATGATAAATGATAATTACAAATTAATCTATCATTGTTGATCAAGGTATAATTAAGTTATAATTAAATTGACATAAAAATATAAGATATAACATGTACATACAATACATACATGATTGTTTTAATATTATACCTCTTGGTCATCATCAAGGTAAGCTTCCTTACTTTTACATTGCGTGAGCTTCGTCGTGTGGCTAGAAACAAAGCGAGGCCACCCGACAAATTTCATGATATTACAGTGTGGAGCTCCCTCTCGTGCTACAAGACAAAACATGTCAAGAGTGTAGGACATACCCAAACAGTGGGAAGTGATAATGTTTAGTTCTAGTTGATTCATTCGACAAACCTTTGGATTCTTGTCCTAGTGACTTCTTTAGTACTGTTTATTCAATCAAATATCCAAATGTCAATTAATAACCTTCTTATGCAACTTTTTTCCCCTTTTTATTTTTAGTATTGTGATGAGGTTATGGCCCCCCCCCCCCAAGGATAACATATACTTTTCCAATATATATATCTATATATATATATATATATATATATAATATATATATATAATACTACTAAGGGCGGGCAACCGACCGGGAAGCTTTGGATAAGGCCGAGCTGGTGGAAGCAAGGCTAATATGTCCGATCGGATGTCCCAGTGTGATATGTCCGATCGGATCTTTAAGCACAACATGTCTGATCAGGCAGGTGTATAAAACTGTGGACTGGAGACAACAGTTGAATGCTCATGAATGTGTAATTAATGAAGTAACAGTCATTGTCGAGTATTTAAAGTGTGCATTGAAAGTCATTAAGAGATGAATTAATGGGTAATATTCTCTGAAATCATATAAATAGCAGTCAAAGGAGAATGTAACTCTTTGTTCTTTGATAATTATATAGACTTGCAAAAGTCCATTCTGACTTGAGCGTCGGAGTGTTTGCTGCAGGTCAACCCGTGTGACGAAGAGGTGCGAGGAGAACGAAGGGAGAAGGACCGATCTGTGAAAGAAGAGTGTTTCCGGACGGAGGTAGCAGGAGCCAGGATTGTTTATCAGAAAAAACACTCCAACAAAAAAGAATATAGAAAACATATTCAGGTTAAACATCTTCTTCTAATTCAACCGACAGCTGTTACACACAACCACACAAAAATATTTCTTCCTGTGTGGAGAACAGCGTGATGGAATCCAAACTTTTGCTAGCACTGGTAGCCGGTGCCACAGGGATGGTGGGCTGAGTCTAGCCCAAGCCCTCAGCAGCCCAACTGTCCCGGAGGCCCATGGAAAGTTTACGGTGCGCCGCAGGCCCCGCCCGTTGGTTCCTCCTTCCACAGTCGACCACTTCATCACTTGACGCTGTCGACTTTCCGACACACGCCGCCAAGCCTTTCACCGGTGCGAGTGAAGTCACCACTATTCTGGATCAGCTTGCAGGTTCGTGTAGATGAAGAAGCAACGTGAGAATCAACGAAACCATGCTCTTCAACGTCTCAGCGCCCTCAAATCTTGCACACCTTCAAGTAGCCCATGTGACAGTTCAAACGCGCACCAAACACCATGGGCCCAATTTTCGTCCACTCCTCTCCACCAAACTCATCTCCCACGATCCACCGTTTTCACGAGACATGGCGAGGCTCCCTACCCCAACTTCTACTACGCGCTCGAGAAATCTCGTTGCATCTTTCGTGCCATCGCTCACGTACTCGTGCACCGCTCCTCTATTATAATAGGAGCGTCGTCCAGGAGTATATACAACTCTCTGCTCACGCTAGCAACCTACGCTGTGATTTGTCGCCACGTGGGATTGGCGTTTCGGTACCCGGGGACGAAGTACACGTGGGAGCATTTCTGTGACATGACCGACGCCGGAGTGTTGGCGCAGCAGCACGTGTGGGCTGCGGTTTCCCCTGAAGCTAAAAACGAAGCATTTCAATTGCACAAACGCGACGTTTTCACGTGGAAGAGCATGTGGAAGTTGCTGTGTGAAGTTTTCGATGTGTGAGTTTGTGGCGTTTGACGAAACGCAAAGGTTGATTTGGGGAGCTGATGCGTGATAAGGGTTGCGTTTGGAAGGAGATCGTGGAGAAATACGAGCTTCACAACACCGTATTGGAGGAAATAACCTG